TCTTGACCAAGAGTCACCCGGGTCATTTGCGTCCTTTCCCCCAGGTGGAACCTGCTGTCCATGGAGCTCTGTGCCCCAGCCAGCTGAGCTGTGTGCTGCTGTTCCCTTGTTTATCTGCCCAGCTCCTCTGCACTAACAGCTTTCCTTAGAATCCGCCTCAGCTCCGCACCGAGTGCCCTGGTCACGAAGACATGCGCCCAGCCTGGGTTCCCCAGCCCCCTCTTGCTGTGGAAGACCAGCGGCGCTGAGTCAGCCCCAGCACATGGGCCTGGCTCGCGTCTCCTCAACAGCCCCAGGAAGACGAATTCCGAATTCTGCAGAGACTTCTGCCTCCCCACTCCCTAGCTCCCCTTTACCTCCCACCCATCCTCCAAGGAGTGGAGGCCAAGTGATCTAAGATGCTAACCTGTCACCAGGGCTCCCACGGAGACCCCCGACACCTGACACCGGATCTAGGTGGGTCCCAAGGTGGCCTGCTCCCTCCAGTGACGCAGCCTGCCAGGAACAGAGATTGCATCAACTAGAAGAAAAGAGGGTGCTGAACCAGACGAGCCAGATAAATAGTGTAGATAGCTGGGTGAGAGGCTGGAAATTACACAAAGCACAGCCATCTTGTAATGACCTTGGGAACCCGAGATAAGAGCAATGGAAAGCTACAGATAGTCCAGGCCTTTCAAGAAACCTTGCGCTTCAAATGTGCCAGTTTAAGTTGATGTTTACAAGACCTGAGTGAGACCAGTGAAGGCTTTCAGGAAGGAAGTGAAATCCAAAGAATGGGAAAAGCACATTATTGTGCCCCATAAATCCTATGGGTGGCACAAGGCAGTTATTAGCCACAAGTCTGCACTCTCTCCCATTAATGGGAAGGCACGTGCTTTCCCAAGTGTGATGAGTGCCATCCAAGCACTCCCTGGGGATTCTCTGTTCTTTAGCCACTTAACAGTCACAATAAATTTTTTCTGCAGTTCCATTTAAAACATTATTCCCCGGGGGTATTCTCGTTTACTTTGAACAGCCTATAACAAATCCCTTTAACCAAGAGCAGAAAGGCTTGAGTCAACTCCCTCTAACTGGCAGACACGTCTGTGTCTACCCAGCCCAGGTGACTATGACCAGAAGATGAGTCAGCTGTCACTTTCACAGGTGGGAACAGAGAACCCCAGGGAGAGGGACACGGCCCCAGCCATGGGCTCAGGCTCACACAGACAAATAGGAGCAGAATGGACACCAGGTCTCAGTCCCTTCAGTCTCACACGTCTAGTTTAAAATAGATTCTTCTTCTGACGCCATGGTCCTTCTAGAACGGTCTGGGGTGACATGAGATACATCACCGGGGCCCCCTAGCAGGAAGGACTTGTGTCCCCTCGTGCGATCCAGCTGCTGCTGCCCAATGGAGGCAGGCTGATGGCAGTATTCACCCCAAGCTTCCCCTGCCACTCTGTCTACCATGTGGCTTCCTGTCTCCCCCACCCATGGTGCAGCCCTAAGAGAGGGATCTGAGATCCTGGGGGGAGCCTCTGCCCACCAAGCTCAAACCCGTCCTCTGTTTCAGTGGGACACTGAGTCTGTGGGATGTCGAGCAGGTACATGTAAGACGGTTGATGTCTTCGACGTGGGAGGTCATCATCCACTCATGTTCTTACAGTTAGTTCCATTAGCCTTTGCTGGGGTTATTTAACTAGATGGGAAGTTTAACAACGAAAGCATGATTGGTGGCAAAGCACAGGACACAGGGTGCCAGGCAAGTTTTACTAGGTATGGGAGAGGTGACTTGTATGCGGTATACCTGAAGTGGCACTGATTGATGCTTGTCACCCCGTGTAGGGAGTAACAGTGCCACCTTTCCAAGTGTCTCAGCTGTGATGATCCAGAGCACGGGCCACGTTGCCTCAGAGTGAGCAGGCTGCCTGGCTGTCCTCCTTCTCCATCCTGGATGTGTCAAGAGAGTGATGAATGGAAAGAAACTTGCAATCCCAGGACAGCCTCGGGTTTGAGTAGCCTCTGAGTCAGCCACTAGCTCAGGAACTATGGATGAACTTCCTAGACTCTTATTGCTTTATTTGAAAATCAGACCAGGCATGGTTTTAGAGAATACTGAGTAAAATAACGCATAGGAAGGGGGTTGAAACTGTAAAGCCCTACTCAGTTGCAGGTCTGGACATAATGCTCAACTGAGTGGATGGCACAGGGGAGATGTTAGCTATCATTGTCAGTATGTGGCTATGACAGCCAGTTCTCTCTTTTAAAAACCAATGGGTTTTCCACCAAAAAGCAGAGTCTAGGAGCTCTGTGGGCCCAGGATGTACATCAGCTCTGCCTGACCTTGAGTCTGACATGAGCTCTGGTAGGGTAGAGAGTAGGGGGCAGTAGTCCGGGTGGTGGGAGAAGGAGGTGGTGAATCACTTATAAATGGCGCCCAAGCAGGACCCAAAGCCCAAGTTCCAGGAGGGTGAAGGAGTACTGTGCTTTCATGAGCCTCTTCTTTATGAAGCAAAGCATGTAAAGGCTGCCATAAAGAACAAACAAGTAAAATACTTTATACATTACAGTGGTTGGAATAAAAATTGGGAGGAATGGGTTCCAGAAAGCAGAGTACTCAAATATGTGGACACCAATCTACAGAAACAGCGAGAACTTCAAAAAGCCAATCAGGAGAGATATGCAGCGGGAAAGATGAGAGGGGCTGCTCGAGGAAAGAGGACATCTGGTCTGCAGCAGAAAAATGCTGAAGTGAAAACAAAAAAGAGCAAACAAAAAACCCCTGGTAATGGAGATGGTGGCAGTACCAGTGAGACACCTCAGCCTCCTGGGAAGAAGAGGACCCCGGGAGATCCTACTGTTGAAAATGAAGAGACACTTATGAACAGAGTTGAAGTTAGAGTAAAGATCCCTGAAAAGCTAAAACCATGGCTTGTTGATGACTGGGACTTAATTGCCAGACAGAAGCAGCTCTTTTACCTTCCTGCCAAGAAGAATGTGGGTTCCATTGTAGAGAACTATGTGAATTACAAGAAATCTCGAGGAAACACGGGTAATAAGGAGTATGCTGTTAATGGGGTTGTAGCAGGGATAAAAGAACACTTCAGTGTGATGCTGGGCGCTCAGCTCCTCTACAAATCTGAGAGACCACGGTACTCTGAGGTCCTTGCTGGTCACCCTGATGCACCCATGTCGCAGGTGTACGGGGCACCACATCTACTGAGCTATCTGTACGGATTGGAGCGATGTCGGCCTACACACCTCTGGAAGAGATATAGAGCCCTGCTTTATTACTGAATTATCTTCATGATTTCCTCAAGTATCCGGCGAAGAATTCAGCAACCTTCTTTAGTGCCAGTGATTGTGAAGTGGCCCCTCCTGAGTACCATCAGAAAGCGGTGTGAGGCGCTCTCACCCGGGTTTGGATCTCTGTCAACACGTTCTTGTTCCTAGCCCTTCTCTTGTACAAATGATGTACTTTGAAGATGTTAGTGTACAACAGAGTCGAAGTTGTTTTGATTTTAAACAGAAAATAAAAGGGGTTGCAGCTCCTTTTTTCTTTTCATGTCAAAGTTGCTACCAGTGCATTCAATGATGGACAACAGAGACACGGTGTAGAGTGTTTCATTGCCTAGTTGACAAAGCTGCTTTTGAATGCTGGTGGTTCTATTCCTTGACACTACACACTTTTATAATACGTGTCGATGCTATAGGACAAAATGCTCTGATTCCTGCCAAAGGTCCAATTCAGTGTATATAAGTGAATACACTCATCCATCTGTGCTCTTTTTTTTTTTAACGGTGCTTAAAGAGCCCATCCTTTGCAAGTCATCCACGTTGTTCCTTAGGCATTTTCTCTTTGCTCAAATTGTTGAAGGATGGTGAATTGTTTCATGGTTTTTGTATTTGTGTCTAATGCACGTTGTAACATGATAGACGCAGTGCATTGTGTAGCTACAGTTTTCTGGAAAAGTCAATCTTTTAGGAATTGTTTTTCAGACCTTCAATAAATTTCAATAATTTCTTTAAATTTCAAAAAAAAAAAACAAAAAAAAACAGAGTCTAATTCTACTATCCTTGACTACGGGCTGGCCTTAGGGACCTACATTTAACAAAAAGAACGCAGCACAAGCAGCCCTGTGTGACTTCCGAGGCAGATTATGACAAGTGCTTTAGCCCAGTGCTGTCTCACGGGATGTGCGGTCTTCAGTCTGAGCTGACAGGTTGAGGGGAAGCCCAGGTAACAGTGAAGAGGCCAAGAGTTGGTGTTCACGGCCCTGGCCCCAAGTGGAGCCCTAAAAACAGACAGAACCTCCAGGCAGCCTTGAGAGGACATAGCTCCAGCTGCTGTGTGACTGCAGCCTCCTGAGAGGCCCACCTGCCAGCCAGTTCCTGGGCTCAGGCAACGGCAGAAGATTGCTTTGTGAGGAGGAGGGACAAATGTGGATGGGGGTGTGTCCCCACAGCAAGGTGCTCCTCTCAGAGCTGACCACTTCCCAGACAAGTAGGCAGGATCTGCAACCAACCTGGCGGCAGTGGGGGCAAATGCAGACCCCCTTCAATGGCCAATTCTAACTGTCATCTCCTCCTTTAGCTTCATCTTTGCAATTCGTTTCCCAATTCGCTGCCACCTCTTGGGATAATGGCTCCACAAGCTGTTTCTCTATCGAACTTCCAGAATTTGTGCCCATTCTCTATTGAACTTCCAAAATGTGTCCATTTTGTGCACTGCACCTGCCAGGTGAAAGGCTGTGGTCACATTCACTCTCCAATTTCTCGTTTCTGGATGAAGACCCTGAGTGTCTTTCATCAGAGCCTAAACAGCAAACCAGGGCCAGTCAAGGCCTGTGCAGGCATATGAGCTTCCACCAGAACAGGGCTTAAGCAAATAGCTTATTTGTTCATAGGTGGCTGGGTTTAATCGGCTTTGAAGACAGCATGTGGGTTTTAATTTGTGTTAATGAATGTAGTACCTACTGAAGTACTTTGAAATAATAGCATAATGCCCTGAATTGAATGTTAAGATTCTTGTGTATGATTTTTATTACACATTAAAAGCTAAATTTTCTCCTTGGGAACAAAGCTCCACAATCACAATAGAAAGCAGCCAGCAAAATCTTTGCATCCTTCAGGGGTGTTGGAGTGTAGCCTGTACAAAAGAGTTCATGTCAGTCAGCATGAGTGACGGGTGGCATCACAGGATCCACCACCTCCTGGCCCTACTTCTCAACAGAGCATTGGCTGAGGAACCTGATTTCTTCCCTGACTCTCGTACCCCCAAGCCCAGCCGCCTCTCCCTGGCCCACCCATCAGCCCACCCTGTCCCATCAGCCCTTTGCCCGTCTACCCACCCACTGTGCTAAGTCCCCTGCTGTGTTTCTTATTTTGAGTTCAAACTCTTCATGCAAATTGAAGTTTGTGACTTTTCTTCTTTTTTAATGATTTTCCAAAACACAGAGAGAACTTACATAATTTTTTTTTTTGGGTACCAGGGATGGAACTCCAGACCCTGTGTTTGCAAGGCAGGCAGCGGAACCACTGAGCTAAATCCCCGGCCCCCATACTTTTTTATTATCCAGAACTTACTCTATCTTGCAGTTACCAGAAGGTCCACTGAGACTCACTGTATCTAAGGACAGTGTATCCACAATACCTTATTGGATGTTGGTGATCGTATTTTTCCTATGTCCTAAAACATTTTACTTTCATTTTAATAATTATTGTTATTCATCATTACCCATCAGTTGTTCCCAGCTGTGGAAAAACAGACAAAAATAATTTTTAAATGCAAGAATGATGGAATTTGCCTACAATGAAGCAGACTTTCTTTCTCTTATTGCCAAAAGAATTATGTACATCACCTTTCAAGGAAGTATGAAGGAAGGCAGGAGATATCATTTTTGGAGTCTGCTTTTAGCATTCATTGAACACATTCACAATTCAGAATTTTTCATTTTCCACCTATAAAAGCAAAGAAGAGAAATGGACAGAGAGAGACATTTCAAATTATTAGATGAACCGGAAGATAAAATGAAGAGAGACAGAGAGCAGCACTCTAGCTAGATTCTAATAGCAATGCTAAAATTTATTCTAAAAGTGAAATCTCAGACTCTGAGTCCTCAGCTGACACTGTCCTGAGTGAATCTTTTTGGATCTAAGAAGTGATGTGTAAACAACCCATTTCTAAGGACAAAAAGGAAATCTAGTATTTTCATCCTGTTAGTCAACAGGCAGGACATGATCATGTCATAATTTGTGACAAGAATCTGGATCATTCCGTTCTGCTAAAAGGCTAGGTGACACCATTGTTTCATCTTGGGTCATGTTTGTGGATCAAAATTTACCCGATGCAAAAAGATTCACTACATTTGAATTCTTATTAAAATTTTTAATAAATTTGTTTTTCACTTTCCTTTTATTCTCACTTCTGTAAAATAATCATAGAATGACTTGAACTATAGAAGTAAGTAAATAATCCATTTCACCCAAATAGTTCTGCCATTTTCCCTGGTACTCTGTCTTAGCTACTTTCCTGTTCCTGGGACACAATACCTGACACCCACAACTGTAAAGAAGGGAGGTTTATTTTGGCCCATGGTTTGTAGAAGTTTCAGTCCATAGTCGGCTGCTCCAAGGCAGGGTGGTGTGTCAGAAGAGAAAGAGCTCACGGCATGGTGGGAAGCAGAGATCAAGGGAGGAGGAGGGAGAAAGACCCTTCCAGGCCACACCCCCAGTGACCCATCTCCTCCAACCAGTCTTTACCTCCCAGCATCACATTTAGCTATAAACTCATCAGTGGCCTCTTCCACTGATGAGTATCATGCTCCCATGACCCAATCTCCTCCCCAAACCCCCACCTATGAGCACATAGGCTTTGGGGGACATCTAGATATAAACCATAATAGACCCTGAAGGTTGAGGGCCAAGTGGGTTCCCGTCTACCTCCTAGAACTTTCTCTTGTTCTGATCTATATAAAACGCTCACTTCTCTAAACTGCTCTCCTGAAAACCTCCCTCAAAAGAATGACTTCATGTAGGTTTGGTTGGTTTCTTACCTAAATCAAATCGTGAAGCTCTTTAGAGCAAAAATTAGAATTAATAAAACTAAACATGAATAGCAGTTATCTGTGAGAGGTAAAATTTCAGATGATTTTTTTACTTCCATTTTTATAACTTTTTGTATTGTCTGATTTTTTTTATAATGAGCATGAATTATTTGTATAGTCAGAAAAAAATTCTCATTTTGGGAGAAAATACCACCTCCTGTTCCATACATGATCTTTCCAGCTCAGGAAATTATTGGACAATTGTTTTATGGTAGAATATTTATACATTCTGCCAATATTTTAGTGTAAGGGAATATAGTATTGCTTGGGAAGACTCTAGCTACATTTTGAAAGTCATCTCACTGAACCTTAACATTTTTCTCCCTATTTCACTATATAAACATTACTCTGAAAGCATGGAGTAAAATTTTGAAAAGAAGTTTAAAAATCATCATACCAAGGCTTTCTTTCTTATTTCTGGATCCACATCTGTGATTATTTTACCCAGGTGTAATCGTCCGTCCTTCCCTTAACTGCCCTCTTCTGCATCCATGATTCATTCATTTAAAACCATCTGGAACCTATGCACTTTGGGGATAGGTTCATCCCAAATGCACTTTGCAAGCTTGGAGGGCCCCAGTGTATCGCAGACGGGTCAGGTCTCCTCTGGTGTGTGTGCGCAGCCTTAGCACAACACTGGGCCCCCCGGCGTGTGTTCACATGTGTGTGCACCCATGTGCACACACAGCAACACTCAGGGCTGTGCTGGGGAGAGGCCTGGCTTTGTCTGGACCAGGATGCACAGGCAGCTATGATATGCAAATAAGAAGCCTTCCACTCCAACCCTGGGCCTGACTCAGAGCCCTCGGGTGGCTTCTGTCTCTAAGCAGCAGGGAATTCAAGCAGAAAATTCCCTATTAGCAGTTCCATAAAACATTCAGGTCCTGGATGCCGCCCCCACGGAGGCCGAGCAGCGGCTTGGAACACAGATGTGCTTCCCGGGGCACGCGCTCCATCCCCATCCGTCTCCTCTTCAGAGGCCGGGGGTTTTTAGGGGCCTGGGGTCCACAGCACCCCCGGTACGCAAAGCGACAGCAAGAGGCACTGCAAAGTTTTGGCAAGCACCAGGCTCCCTGGAAAAGTTCCTGTCCTCACTCTCCACCCTCCCCACAAGAGGTTAATCATCCAAACCTTCCCCTCAGAGGAACGGTCCCATTCAGATGGGTGTGAGGCGATGAGCTCCTGTTTCAGCGAGACACATTTGGCAAATCATTCCGAAGGCGCCAGCTCCTGCGAGGGATCAGTAAATGCTCTGATTGTGACAATGGCAAGCAAGGCTGGAAGTACCAGCTGTGTGCGTGTGCGTTTGTGTAGGGCAGCAGAGGCCCGAAAAGAGGCCATGCAGGAGGGAAGAGGAGGAGGTTACAAGGCGCTTAGGTGCTGTCTTTTAATTCATGCACAAAAATTGGACAGAGGGATCCACTCTTTTGTTTTGCAAAGGACTAAAACCATTTTCTTTCTTTAAAAAACAATTTTTTTTTTCTATTGCATGTTTCCTCTTCCAGAACCATGAAACAGCTTTGGGAAGATAGTTATCTCGCATGAACAGCACCACGATTTCGTGAGGCTCATCCTCCCCGCTGCAAACCGGCAACCGTTTGACGTGAGGGAGGGACAGGGAGAAGCAGCCCTTTGCCACAAGTGTGAGCGGAAGTTCCTGTCACGCCCTCCACGATGCTGAAGGGCACACTGGAGACTGCAGACTGCCTGGTCTAGAAAGAGGAAACAACCTCGAGCGACTAAGAGATTTTCATGCCACACTATTTGCTGAAAAATAAAACGCCTTCAGTGCCTTCGCTTGACTGTTTGTGTTTTTCTGCCTGGATTTGTAGGTTGCAGTCATCTCTATAGAACGCGCCATGCTCAGATAAACACCTACGCAGGATCCTGCGCCTTCCTTCAGTAGTATTTGGTGCCAGCCCCAGCTGGAAGAAGATCACTGCCCTGCACACGAACCCTGCGTCTCCCCATGGCCAAGGGACAGCAGTTACCTCTCAGGCCACCGTTCAAGGCCTCTGCTGTCTTACCCAATCCCCACAGCCAGGCCCTTCTGCTTCCGCAACTTTGGCAAAGCCTCCTCCATGCCAACCCACAAGATCTGTTCGCTCTCTCACCCCACTTCCGGCCCCGCCCACCCCGATCTCACTTGTCCTCCGAGATGCTGCCCGCATCTTCCTGGCCACCAACCCTTTCTCACCACCTCAGCTGGTGGAGATCCACTTTCTTTCAGGGCCTGAGTATCTTTTGCTAACCCGAAACTACCTTATTTATTTATCTTTTTTAGTTCTGGAATCTTAGCTTCCAAGGCAGGCTGGGAGCTCTTGGAGAGCAGGAACTTCTATTCTGTTTTATTGATTCCTCTGCCTATGAAGATGATGGATACTTTGTATATCGATGGTGCCCAATCAACGTACGTGAGCTTGACACACTCCTGTCTGCTGGCTTTCTGCTCTGTTGCAGAGAGGAAGAGCGAATGTAAGTTGCTTCCCTCCACTGGTTTCTGGTCTTCCTGGACTACCGGATGTTCTGTGTAAGCTGCAAGTCTGGAAGTAAAGCAGCCGCCTCGAGAGACCTTTCAGCAAAGTGCTTCGAGTTCAGGAAAGGCCAAGGTCAACATTAATTAGGTGATTGTACTTGAAATGCCCTGAAGAGATAAGCACAATGCTTAGTGTTTGTCTGGGGCCTTCATCAACACTAATTCAGTCTAAAGCCTCACACTGCTGTTGTTAGCTGGTCCTGTGCCCCATTTAAAGAATAAGTACTCGAGGCTCTGGAATCAGGAGAGATTTGGCCAAAGTCACGGCTTTTAGGGTTCAGGTCCGGGGTCCAAGCAGCACTCCCTGCCCACTACCATGCTTCATGTGCTGTCATGCTTTCCTTTAAACTAGAACTTGGGAGCAAGGTACTAAAGCAAGTGAAAAATAACATTTGGAAAATATCAGGCAGGTTGCTGTCTATAGAATAGGAGAGAGAGAGACAGCGTGCTCACTAGGGGCTCTGTCAAATGACAATGAAGATGAATTGATTACATTGGATAGCACCTGAATACAAAGGAAGAGGAAAAGAGCAGAAAAGGAGGTGACTTACATGTTTCAGGGTACTGTAAATGCAGCCTGTGAGAATGGTATTGATGACGCTGGGGCTGGGGACAGGGCCTGACTCACAGGAACTTGATGACACCCTGGTGAACATCAAGGGGACTTGAAGTGAGAATTTCCTAAAGGCACTGGAAATTGGGCACCGGAGCCCAACAGGAGACCCGGGCTGGAGGGAGAGCCGTGATGCTGGAACGTGGCCCGACATTGCTGACACAATGTCGGCTTTGCATCTGGGGGTATCAACTCCTGGCAATGTCCCAATGTCCCCGGGCGACCTTCTGTTCCCTCTCTGGGGTTGGATCCCCTCTATCTGATGGGCAGTTTCATTTTCCCATTATGGGCTAAATTATGGACCCCTCCCCCAAATTCCTGTTTTGAAGCCCAGCTCCTCAGAACACTGCTGTCGTTGGAGATGGGGCCTGTGAGGAAGTCACCCAGGGCAAATGAGATCACTGGGCTGGGCCTGAACCCAACCTGCCCTGTCCTTAAGAGAAGAGCGGATCCAGACACAGGCGCTCACAGCGGGAGACATAGGTGACACAGGGAGGAAAAGCTGGCTGACCTCCTCCAAGGAGCAAGGCCTCAGGAAACCTACCTTGGGCTTGGCCTTCGGGCCTCAGGAATGGAGAAGCAATAGCTTACAAGTGGTCCTTTGCTATGACAACCCAAGCAAATTAATACACCCCCTGAGCTTTATCCCTGCCTGTGTTGAAGCCAAGCTGCCACTTTCTGCCCACTCTGAACCTGCAATTTGCCTTCAGAGTCTTCACATTTT